GAATCCACCAGCAGTCACATGCTGAAGTGTCCCTGGGCAAGACACTGAACCCCTCATAGCCTCTGATGTGTGTCCCATCAGTGTATGAATGTGACCTAAAGCACTGATCAGTTTCATTAGAATGATTTGTTCAATTAGCTTTGTAGAGATCTAGTAGAGTGCTGTATGAATGGGTAATGACACAGATTGTAATATAAAGCGCTTTGAGTATCTTGAAATAAGATAGAAAGGTGCTATATAAGTACAGTCCATTTACCATATAACTGTTTTATTTTATAACAAGAAGGGGACAGGTGTAACGCAGAAAAAATAAGCTCCCTTAGACTTGAAATTAGCTTGTTTTTAGTTCAGAATTTTAGCAAAAAACAACAAGCTATAAAACAAGCTAAAACAAGTTGAGTACAACTGCTTTAATGACAAAAGTGTGTTTGAGTACAAATCTTAAAGATACAATATTGTTTTTCTACTTTCAGTCAACTTTAGGCTTTTGCAATAAATTACAGTTGCATCTCAAAAATAAGAATATTGTAAAGAAGTGCACTTTTTTTGCCCATCATTTCAGAAAGTGAAAATGACATTATATAGCTTCATTACACATAGCCATAATCATCTGAATTACAAGAAATAAAGGCTTGAAATATTACACTCTGTATGTACTGAATCTATGTAATATATGTCCTGATTAATGCTCAGTAATCCAGGTAGATCATTCTAACAAGGTTGAGTCAGGTCTTCTGGACATATTCTTCTTCTTTTATCCAGAATACTTTTATAGTCCGAGCAGCTGCAAGAAAACTCAGTTTGAAGTTTTTTTTAATAAAAGACAAAACGTTTCAGCAAAGAAGAATCAGTCCAGAGGACCTGACTCAATCTTGTTTGATATGTAATTTGACTTTCATTTTCTGAAATATTTGACCAAAATATTGAACTTTTTCATGATTTTCTGTTTTTTTTTGAGAGGCAAATGTAACTTCTTAAAACTAAAAACAAACGTGTTTTATTTGTTGCCTCTTTAGCCCAGTGCCCAGCCAATGAGGAGCGGTTTTCGTCATCAGGAGTCATACTAAGTCCTGGGTTTCCTGGAAACTATCCAAACAGTCAAACGTGCTCTTGGCTGCTACATATGATTCAAGGTACAGAGTTTCACAGCAATCGCATGTGTGCCTGTGATTTAGTTGGGACACAGTCTTTACTGAACAATGCTTTCAACTGCTTGGAAAAGTCTTATTCTGACCTGTTACTTTTGATTAGAGCTGGAAATCCAAGCCAGGGTTCTTTGATTAAAACCCACTGTAATATAACAATTTTTTTGTGTGTGTCTCAGTAGTTATTTAGTAAAAATCACTGTGAGTGAATTGTCTGAAACGATAAAAAAAAAAAAAACACCATACACACATTGTGAGAAACCAAATATCAAACTCTAGATATCAAATAAAACTTGAAATGTGTCCGATATGAATAAAATTGCATTCTGTGTCAAGTGATCTGTATACATTTATGCTGAAATCTGCCTCATATAGTTTATGAGTCAGACAGTTAATATATGTTTGTGTAATGCTGGTGCTTTTGGATACACAATGTGAGAGACTGCTTGCATAATTGTCAGTGAGAAAGAGTTGGTTTATGGAATTTTTAAATATAATGCTTAAAAGGCATATAAAGTCTGCCTTAAACATCTTTTTTTATAAATTGTTTAAACGTATGTAAATGTTTCTGGATTCATCTGTGTTGAGCGGTTCTTATACACTTTACAGATGTTTAGTATAGTTTTTTTTTGTTTGTTTTGTTAACATAGCCTAATCTAATTGTCTTAACAGATTACACCATCAATATATATGTGGAGCTCTTCCACAGTGAGAAGCAATTCGATGAGCTGGAAATTTTTGATGGTAAGGAAAAGCTCTGCTATCTCTTGATACACCTGAAAACATTCATACACATTAAAACATATAGTTACACCCAACATTAGTTCGTGCTCATGCAAAATGATAATTCATTTTGTTTAAAAATGTGCATTCAGCTCCAAACACTTCTGCTTCTGTTTCACCAGGATCTTCAGGACAAAGCCCTTTGCTGGTTGCTCTGAGTGGTAACCACTCATCTCAATTGAACTTTACATCCAAAACAAATCAGCTCTACTTACGGTGGTCCACTGACCATGCAACAAACAAGAGAGGATTCAAGATACGTTACTCAGGTACATTCAGTATCCATTTATGTCTTTCTTTTTTCCTACCTGACAATGGCAAAGTCAATACAATCAAGTCTGGACCATTTTTTCTGCACACAGTCTAGAGGACAGCTGTACAACCTGTCATACAGCTTTGGATAATAGTTTATTTCTTTGCCTGTCAGTTTAATTATTTGCGTGCTTAGAGTGATAGATTTAATGACTTCATTAAAAGAAATGTCACTGTGCATTACTCTCATGTCACAAAGGAGGCACGTCAGGTGAGTTTTCCAGATAAAGGTTTCCGTCACATCAGGGTGATTGACAACTGTCTCCTCTGCCCTATCTCTGTTTCCACAGAATGCTTGGAAATGTATGCGCTCCACATTGTTGAAACGCTGACTAATTTTCCTACTAGCATGAATAATGATCCCTGAAGTCTTTTGTCTTTTTAGAATAATGCATCGATGGGTGGCTGAGCAATGATCATTTTGAAAAAAGATGCTTTCCAGTGCATCAGGCTGCTTACACATCGAAACACCACTAGTTTCAATGTGTTAATTTAGTAAACTGAGTGACCTATAAAGTATTCTTTAAAACTTGTTTGTTGTTGTTTCAAGAACTTGTTTGTGAGGGTTACCAGTCTCGGTTTAAAAATCCAATTTACTGTTACACAGATCCTTTTTGATCTTGAAAGAAGCCAGGAACAAGGTCAGACTGTTGGCACGCTATTTGCAAAAACAGGAAAAGAAAACAAAACTATGTTTTAGATTTTTTTTCTGCAGGGTATATCAGCTCATTGGCCTGAAGTAATAGAACTGTCTGTTCTCCATAGTGTTGTAATAGACTGTCTACAATAGGTATACATAAAACAGAAAATGATGGTTGTGATTTTTCTATATACTATTAATGGTTTGGGTTACTGAGGAAACAAACCTCAGTAAATACTGTATTTGTATGCTGATCATTTTTATACACGTTTCTTTTTGACAGGTTGTGCTGATAAGGTTCAACTGTAATGATAACTGCTGCATTTTCTTCTAGCATTGCTTACATTCTAGAGAATTTGTCTTAACAGTGAATGACCTTGATTGTATTGTTCTTAAATGTAAACTATGTCTTCATCTGTTCACCTTTCTGATATGTCCTGAAGGCTTTATCTTTGTTGTTAATGTTTCTTGTCTCACTTTGATATCTCTTTTTGAATTCACCTTGTTGTTGTTGTTGTGGCCTCAGTGCATTTATTGACCTCTTTGACCATGCTGTAAATAAGTATGAGGAAGGGTAGCTCTAGAATTCATCTAAGAATATCATTACTTCACTCGTAAGCTATTTAAAAGTGCAGTGCATCAAATGTCGCCCACCTGTGCCTAACTATTGAGAAAAACAGCTTCATATAGTTCTATAAACATTCAGCGGCAAAACCACACATGATGTCAGCACATTTCAGTAAAAGCACTGGACACTGGCAGGAAACATGCATTAAAATGAAGCAGTGACGAACAAACACTAATTTTACACAGATCTCTTGTTCTGCCAATGGTACCATCCTGATATATAATATTTGTGTAAAGTTTGAAGATTTAAGCCTAGACTCTTTGGGACAATCATCTCAATTGGTTGTTCCTCAGTGGTACAATGTTTCCTACAGGTTACGTTCAGACATTAAAACAAAAAAATGTTTAAAGGGTTACTTTGATAATGTTTTTACATTTTAAATGGTATATATATATATATCATAACATGTTAAAGCTATCAAATATTTGACCCTTATGAAATAAAATGATGTTAACTTGAAAAAAAAATAATAGATGGTAAATACTCACAGGTATAATATGAAATAAATCCCTCTTGCCATCCCATCCCAGGCTTTCCTGTCCCCTCATTAGTCCTCTGAAGGTATGTTACGACTTGTATCACACCAAGCAGTCAGTTGCAGGTCATATAAGTCTTGGAAGCTGTGAGTGGTATTCTCTGTTAGTCAAGTGCATCCTTTAGATCCACAGTTAAATTGTTGATTAAAGAAAATTGAAAGACTCTTTTAGTTGCCTCTGGCCCGTTCATAAGTCACCAATCAACCGAGCCATATTTTGTGACAACGTGAGTTTACAGAAATGAAGCTAGCTTTACACATTTAAAATAAGTGTGAGTTGGATATATGTCATTTTAAATCTTGTGGCTGGCCAGTCACACAGACCATTTCTTGTTATTAAATCACACCATTGACAATTGCAATGCCAGCTTATCCTTATACATTATTGATATGTTGGCTCTAACACTACCTCCCTTGGCAGCTCAAAGGCACAATGATGGCAGGTTGACTTCAACCCGTTATGCTGCATTAGATTGACATGACATCTCAAACCTGGCTTGAAAGTGTTTTGTAAAAGTGGCTTGTATTTCTAAAAATATGTGTACTTATCAGTATGTTTAGGTAAGTAGTTTGTACCAAAGTGTCTTCTCCTTTAATAGAAAGATTGAAGATGAGGTCATTGTCAAAACATCACATTTCCCTTGATTTGCTTGCCTGTTTTTCAATGAGCATTCTGGTCATGTTTTCCCAACGTGCACAGCATAGGTGCCTGGCCATCTACATGATGTAAAAAAGTGATTTATGTTTTTTTAGACTGAGTCATCTTCTCATTGGTTGGCACTGGCAGTCAAGTTCTGACACTCACATGTTTAGTTCAGGCACTTCATGTAGTGGAAATAGGTCAGCAGAGTGATCATGTTTGAAGTGGAACAGTCAAGTACAAAATAGTAATAGACTGATTTTAGAGCTAGACAAGTGAGTATAAAATATTTCAGAAAAAAGGTTAAACATTAAACTGTTCTTGAAAAGACTGACTTTGGGAAATGTCAAGTTCATTTTGTTGTCCATTCTAGATTATGAAACCCACTCTGTCAAAGTTAAGTGGAACTGTGAGAGTGACAATAAAACCCATTAGATAGAATGACATAATTGAGTGGCCATTGCGTTTTCTTTTATTATTGCTCATGCTCCCAACAGTCATGTGCTTTTTCTGTACTGAAAGGACAACAAAACATTACTAATTTGAAAAGTTCTAAAATAGTCATCTTGTTATCCCCTCTGCATCACTGTTTGTGAATCACTGTAGTTGAACTAAACTCGCCAACGCTGTAATGTCAGTGGGGGCATGGATGTTCTTTTGTGACTATTTCTGAAAACCCTTCATAGTAATATCAGTATCTAAGCAATGATTTTCATAATTAGATTATTAGTCAAGTTTCCTGTAAACTAATATGAACACTTTGTTTTCTTCCTTTGTTTTTTTTTAACTGTTTCCAGCTGCTTACTGTAGTATTAATGATCCCCTCTTGAATGGTGGCGTGGTCAATCAGACCAAACTTCATCCAGGTAGCAGGCTTCAGTTCTTTTGTAACCATGGTTACCGCCTCGTAGGCTCCAGCAATGCCACTTGTAGGCTTGATTCCAATGGACTTTACCAGTGGGATACGCCACCACCTTTTTGCCAGCGTAAGCTTTTCAATACATTTTAAATTATCTAAGTAGTAATTTTACAGCAAAAAGTTAGCAATTCTCTCAACTCAACTCTCTCTTTATGATATGACAGCTATTTCTTGTGGTATACCTTTATCACCGGGCAATGGCAGTTTCCATGCTCCCCACTATACTGTTGGCAGTCAAGTCACATACCAGTGTAACTATGGCTACCAACTTGACACCAGTGTTTCAATGACTGCTGTTTGTTTGGAGGATGGAACCTGGAGCAATGCTGGTTCAACCCCCAGATGTCTGCGTAAGTGTTTCTAGGACTTACCTGTGTATGAGTAAGCAGTTCATTCACATCTGCTGGAGTTTTTATGTTCACTAAAAAGAAACATCAACATTAATTTCTACTTCTTTCTTAAACAGTTCTTAAATAAATTAAAGTTCTTTATTTTTCCATTCATTTGCAGCTGTTCATTGCTCCAGCATTGAAGGTGCCTTGTCAGATCACATGACCTACCACCTACTCTCCAGTAGGCTGGGAGACTTTGGGTCTGTAGTGATGCTGGAGTGCTCAACAGGGTACTATCTGAGTGTTGGACATCGGACTCTTCGGTGTCTTGCCAATGGTACCTGGGAGGGGTCAGATGATCCAGCTACTTGCAAAAGTAAGTTTTATTCCATGCATGAACACAAAAATAGCAATTAATGTGCACAGTTTTCCATATTGTTTGGAATATATATATATATATATATATATATATATATATATATATATATATATATATATCAGCTGCATTACTATATGTACTGTATGTAATTTCTATTTAATACACACACAGACATATACACATAAATACATGCTTGAAATGTTTTATGTCCACTTGTGTTCTGTAGTGGAAAAGTACTATTTTAATAATCTGAACTTTCATGGTAGAGATGAGTTAACTTGTGACATGAGATGAAAAGGATACCTTAATATGCTCAATGATGCAACGTTATTAGCAGGCGAGATACGGCTCACATAAAGGAAAACAATGAAAAGTTCACTGCAATTACGTTTACGACCTGTCATGCATTAGTTATTAAAAGAACATACCCACAAGCACAGCAGATGGAAAAATCAGAGTAAGTTACTTTGCTTTTTAGTTTTTTGGTAGTTTTAATTAGGTCTGTGCTTTATTGTTTTTGGTATGAAAAAAAAAAAACTGCACAGCCCTCATACTTAAAAAAAAATTAGAGCTATGCTGAAAGGTGCATATGCTTTCTGTATTAGCTCATATGAATGTACATGCTTTTTTTTCCTTTTTCCTTCACTAATCCTTTTATATGAGTTACCAGAGATATATTCTGTATGTTTTCAAATGCCTAAGGATAATACCCACTGCAGATTATCTTGGGATTTTGACAACTGTTTTATTCAGAATACAGCCTGTACTTCCTGAATGTGGGGTACTTGTCAGTAGTAGTCAGAGTGCCTATTCACCAAAAAAAAAAAAAAAAAACTGTTATGCACTGCAGTGTGCCTGTGCTGATATTTTTTAAGGGAATTGGATATGCAAATAGTGTGGTTCTGAAAACTTTTTAGCACACTTTTTTTGTGATGCATTACATGTTTATATAGTACCAATGAAAAATATAAACGTATACACTGCAATAAGTGTAAATTGATATTGTAAATTTGTTATTTAAAAAAAAAAACTGATTTTTTTATTATTATTTTTATTATTATTATTAATTTTTGCTAGATTATCAAGTAGATTCCTTATGTTTGCTGGTCAATCAATTTTATTAGCATCTCAGAGCAATTGAATAAATTCACAAAAGTGGCTATTCCTTATTTTAGCTTATATAAGATGATGTTATATATGATGATGATGATGATGATAAGGATAGTTTACAGTATATTTGATAAGTGTTTCACATTATGCAAAAAAATATTTAAACTTTTTTTTTTAACTGTATGTTGTTGTAACAATATTTAAATGTTATTGTTTAGTGATCTCCTGCGGAGAACTTCCTTCCCCTCCCTTTGGTACCAAACTTGGGACTTTGACTACATTTGGAGCAACTGCAATCTTTATGTGCAATCATGGCTACACGTTGGTGGGTTCACATGTTCGAGAATGTGGTGCTGACGGGCTGTGGAGCGGTGCAGAAACAAGATGTTTAGGTAAGATCAAAATGGGAATGTATATTATGCTGTTGTCTGAATGACGTCATCTTAGCAGAAAAAGTGAACATTCTGATCAACCTTGAATACATCCTCTGTGGACTAATGGTTTGATTGATCAAACATAGAAGAGAAGGCACATGTATCAAGGATGAAATGTATTGATCTGTGCGAATAATTTCAGTAAAAGGTCGTTCTCCGTAAACATTAAATATGTGCAAATGTACCCTTGCTTAGAAACTTCATGAAGAATTAAGACAGTTTTAAAACACAGGTTAACTGTTCTTTTAAATGGTGAATATTGTTGAATATTACACTCTTTCAAGTTTCAAGAAGTCAAAGGATGTGGTGTTTCAAGGCTGCTTAAGAAACAAACCAACTGTTGAAATGTAGCAAGTTTAGACAACCTTTTGTGCCTCTGTAATTGCTACATTCTTCACAGGTAAAACATTAATTGGCTGATGCACTCCTATTCCAAGGCCAAAGCAATCAAGAGCTTTGTGAATTGAAATGTTTGAATTTTTTTAATTCATGCCTTGAGGAGCCATGAACAAGCTTAGAGTTTTAGTTGCTCATTGTACTATATAAATGGGTTATTTTGTCTTTTTCAGCTGGCCACTGTGATTCTCCAGATCCTATAGTCAACGGCCACATTAGTGGAGATGGATCTAGTTATCGTGACACAGTCGTATACCAGTGCATGCTAGGATACAGATTAATTGGTACATCTGTTAGAATCTGTCAGCAGGACCATCGGTGGTCTGGAATAACACCTGTCTGCGTCCGTAAGTACACATGATATCAATGTTCTCATGGTTACTTTCTTGCCTTTGTTGACTTATTGCTGTTTATTTCTATATTTTATATCAAACTATTAAAAAGTACAAACATCAGATGGGGGAAAACACAAATTCTGAAAGTATCTATCGAAAATTTCATCCATCACTTTTGTATATCTTGACTTCCTTAGCCATCACTTGTGGCCATCCAGGAAACCCAGCCAACGGGCGAACGAACGGCAGCGAGTTCAACCTTAATGACGTAGTCAACTTCACCTGCAATAAGGGTTACATCCTGAATGGAAATGCTCGTGCCCAGTGCCGACTCAATGGACAGTGGAGCAGCCCCTTACCTGTCTGCAAAGGTAACAATCACATCTGTTGCACAGTTCTATGCATGCATTTTAACTGTGGGTATGAGTGAGAAAGTGTAGCTGGAAACATAAGTTCTCACAACAATCATAAGCAAATTCTGGGGGCTCATGCAGGCATTCAGTTTGTGGGATCAACCAATAATGCAATAGCTAAAGGTATTTGTGTCTACAAATATGTGTCTTACATTTGCTGGATGGATTTCCTTGTCGCTATATTATGAAAACAGCATTTTAGTTGAACTTTAAAATACAATCTAAATACTTATTGTGTAGACACACCCTTATGAGTGAGTTGTATTCAGTCAGTTTTTGCTTAATGTTGTGTGTGTGTTTAAATAAACGAGCGCATGTTTAAATGATGTTGCACATCTGGAAAATTGTCCAGAGACAGTTTTATCCTCAGCTAGCCATGCCTGTTTTTTACACAACTACTTCATATCACTAGCCATGCACCATAACTACCCCCACCCCCAATCCAGACACGCATGCACACTTTAAACGTTTGAGATCACATGGCTGCTAATATGGGTTTTCTATCAAAGGGACTCATTCTGGCTTACTTCCTTCATCTTCCCTGATTTTTCTCTCTTATTCCCTTCATGCCTTTTTCCCCCCCACCACCATTTTTTTTTTCTCGCAGCAGCAGCTGTCAATTATAAGACTGAAACTTTCTCCATTCCCTTAGGGGGCCAAACACATACACACACTTAGTCACTCGCTCACACAGTCATCTGCTCCATCGACGTGAATGTGAGAGAATGTCAGCGTCTCTTGTGACATGTGGAAAATCATGCTCTATCCCTATTGGACTGTCATCCACTTAGACAGAGAGACTTAAAAAAAGAACTCCGAAAACGGATCATTCAGTGACAAAAGACAAGTTTAGAAAACACTAGAAAAGAGCAACAAGGACAATCTAAAAATGTAACACTTGAAGTTTGTCAGGATTCAAGTATTGAGGCTTAAGAAGAGAAGATGGAAAACACAAAAAGACTTTGAAATGGTTACAGTTTAGCAGAATTATCCGAGGGTGTTGTGAATAGCATGAAGCAAAACATTTTTTATTTGTCTTTAAAAAATCTGTCTGTGAATGACCAGACAGATATTTTTTTTTTTACCAAAGATTTAAAGTGACCGTTCAAACATTTTATAGCAATATTCTTGAGAATGGTTATGAATAATTAATAACTTGATTAACTTAAACAACTGTTCAGCTTATTTGTTTAAAGAACAGTATTTTAATTCTGATTGGATTTACAAACAGCTAGTCCAAGTGAGGATCAGACCTAAGTGCATTGCTCTCGTCTTAAAACAACTGCAGTCTCAAACGTTTCAATGCAATTCATATGAATATCGTTTTATAAATCCTTACAATGCCATAAATTGCATGGCGTTTTACATATGTTGTTGTCTTTTTATTTTTATTTTCAAGTTAATAAAAGTGGCAGCAGCAGCTAACTGTAAGACTTTTGATGCTACAGTTACCCTGAAGAATTTCCAGGAGGAATTTTATAAGATCTCTGCTGGAATCACTGTATACAGTGGTCCCTCGCTACTTTGTGGTTCCTTTTTTGTGGACTCGCTCTATCGTGTTTTTTCAACGTAAAATTGGACACGACACACAATTGTCTGATTGATGGAGGAGCCGCACGATCAACATGGACTTTTTATTTAAAATCAATTATTTTCAATTATTTAGCACCTCCTGCACCTTTGCACACACTGCAGGATAAGCTCCCTCCTGCAGCTCATCAGCTGATCTCCATGCAGAGCGGTTAAGTGGGTGTGGCCGAGAGTGCTTGCAGGTGGCTGAGAGCAGCGGAGGCAGGGAGCTGAAATCATGACATTCTGTGCTCTTTTAGAGCGTTTAGCTTAAAAACATTGTTTAGAATATTGCAAGAGTGTGGGAGCATTTAAAACACCTTT